GAAGATTTGTTTGGGTCGAAATATAAGATGTGTAGGCAGCGATTCCTTCCAAGCACTCAGCTTAGCATTCAGTGTCTCTAGCATCTTGGACAGCTCGGTCGCGGCCTGGCTGAAACTTCTCTCCGTGTAAATGCAACCTAGGATGTCGCTCATGGCAACCGATAATCGACATAGCGATGTGAAGGTTGAGACGCTGTATGCCGGCGAGCCAGGATATTCATTCGACTCGCTGGAATATGCGAAGGGCCTCCAATGCTCAAATTCTTCGTAGGTGTCGAGGAACTTGATGGGCACAAGAGTATCTGACTCCTTGATGGTGACGGGCCGACCCTGGTACAGGCTTTGTATCTTATCGACGACTGATATTTTTGATTAGTTCAGGATGATGGCATGGTAGTCGAAGAGCTTATTAGGCGGGAACATACCGAAAGCGCCCCAGAACACGCGCCTTCGTATCTCAAGGTCCTCGTCAGAAAACTTGCGGCCAAGATCTGGGACATCAACATGCATTCCAAGATCAATGATCATTCGAAATGCGAGACCAGCATATAGCCAGGCGGCACTTCTCTCGTCCCCGAGTGCGAATAGAGAGTTCGTCATGACGAGAAGAGCCTGGATTGTGGTCACGTCACTGCGATCCAACGCGCTTCCCAGCAGTTCTCGAACCCGTTCGCGAAACTCCCATCCAGCTGTGCGGACGTCGTTAGGATCTTTGCGAACATCATGCCGAGGGCTAAATTTGGAGGCGCCAAAGTAGATAGCGTTCAGGAGCAGCTTCGAAAAGTAAGGGCCACCCACAAGCCATATCACGCATGAAAGCAGGCCGATACGTGATAAGGAAGGAATGGTGCTGTCGATTCCAGTGAAGGGAAAGAAGATGCATCCCAAGGATGGGATCTACACCATCAAAATCGAGTGCACCGGATTGGTAGTTGAAATCCTCAAGCTGGCCTGTACAATGGTCAGCCGGGAGTTAGACAGACACCAAGCATCACTCTAGGTAGGTAGGCGGAGCACGCACGTTGCGTGGCAGCTTCAGCGACTAGGCCCTTTTCAATCCATGCTTCTGGCATCCTCGGATGCAGGTCAGCCGCTGAAGCTCGCTCCTGGACGTTGTCCTCGTACAGGGCACTTGTACGTCCATGATAACTCGAGACACCATTGGCTGACACCACAATGCGAGATACGCCAGCCCGAGGAGTCGTTGTTGGGCTGGTATCTGTGCCGTGCTGGGACTGTTCACGACGTGCAGCATCCACATCGTGATCCGCAGCATTGGGGTTGGACGTGCTAGCATCATTGACGCGGGGTAAATCCGGGTTGCGTGGCTCGGAGCGGAAGGGGGAGCCGCACCGTTGACCAGCAGGCATGGGCCGCTGACGGCGCCGAGTGGATGTCCGAGGCTGAGCGGAGGCATTCGTTTCGGTCAGTGGCTCGTAGACACAATCCTTCGCGTACGTCCTGCAATTGGCACATGTCGGCTGTTCGTTGTTGCACTTGATCTGGCAGGGAGGTTAGCCGCGGATGCCGCCTGCTCGAAGTCGACGATCTGCGCAAGGTAAGGAGAGGAAACAAACCTTGCGCTTCCGGCAAAAGGTGCATGCTTCAACGGCCCGTCTCCGCGGACGACCTGATATGGTGGTGGATCCTGGCGATACTTCCATAGTTTAACATCATGTAAAAGAGCATACGACGGGAAGGCTCATGGTCAGAAGACGAAACTTGTGTGAAAGGTGGTGCGTTTGACACGGGCGAAGTGACGGGAATGTGCAATCTAGCATGAACGAGCTACCAGCGGGGAAGGATGGGCTCAGGTGTGTGGTAGCTTCCCGCGGACGGGATGCACCTTGGCAGCAATGTCACGACAAAAAGGGTGGGGCAAGAGCAGCCGCCCAACCTCTTAAACGGCAGAAGTGGCCATGCCCTTGCACAGCCATAGCCTTCCCGCGGGAATTGCGCCCAAGACCAAACAACTGTACCCACACTAAGGTACTCGAGATCTGACCTCTGAACGGACTACACAGCCTCTGACAACAAGCGAGTAAAAGTCAGAACTGTAGCAGAA